GTTGGTGGCATCAATCCGCCATTTATGCTAATTGCTAAGTCAAATGTACGCGGAAAGCATCTTTGCCTTTGAGAGAATGTCTTCTAACTTAAAATATACCTCAGATCCGTGGACTCTGGATTTTAGCACATTAGTGCTTATAAAGAGATGCACCATCAAACATGATCTCGGACACTCCAGGCCAAATGCTTGACGTAAACATCCTACAGGGACGTTAATTTAATACAAGCATTTAATCTATACTACCGCATTTCAGTCGACTACAGTATATCGTGTAATCGTGTTGATAATGGAATCATGAGCGCACAAGATCCTTTTATTTGCAGTATGTCTTGTAAGACACCTCTCCAATGCGTACAGTTTGGAACCAATGTCCCGGTGGACAAACATACTTGACATACATTTTATCTAAAAAGAACCGCTATAAAACGTACGTACGCCTCTCTAATATGGACACATTGCTGCCCCTCCGCTGCATGTCGATATTAACAGGGATTCTAATCTCTATCTTTATATAAATGCATGTTATTAGAGTGTTTCCAAAGACTAAGCTATTTCCACTACATCTTTCAAGATATTGAGGTTTCTACCTTCTACAGGTAAACATCTGCATGCATTACTACAACTTTGATCGAAATATTGTAAAAAAATAGTTAATATACTGTATGTACTGTACGTTGAAAAATTGAGCTGCAAAACTCAGCTACAAATACGGCGTTTTTACTACTTTATACCAGCAGTAGAAAAGTGTTTGAAAACAGCGCTTATAACAGTACACAGTTGTGTTACCTGTGATAGGGAGTTAACATATCTAACGCCTTCGTCTTTTGGAAGACATTCTGAAAAGAAGTTCCAATAATCCTTCCGCATACCAAGAAATGAATACTTATCTAGAAAATTCATTGAAAGTAGATCTTAGACATCTTATTAATTCGTGCAACCTGCATACTGTAGATATATTAATAAGGTTATCAAAATAAATGTTGCATTTTTGACCAAACAGAAAATGAGAAAATAGCATTTACAGTAGTATTTGAAATGGTCTTTTTGATGCTGCAATAAATCGTTGAATTTTGGATGAAATTTATTCGAACCTTTTTGTACCTTACGTGTACTTTTTCCGCCTGCGATTGATAGGTAGGCTGTTTAAGCTTTGTGAGACAAAATTGCTTCTTACTGATTTTCTTGCACGTTTGGTACAAAACCACAAGGCCAAGGGGTATTCAATTCAGACATTAATTCACAACATGCCTTTCATTCAAAAGTTCCAACAAAATTATCAGGCTAGCCTGCATGGCAGCCTGCGTTTATTCTTCCCGTCGCCACCCACAAATGAACACCGGCTACGCCCGCTATGGCTCCCTCTTCGGAAATTTGCTTCACCCCCTCCCCCCCTAGAATTTAACAAGTATAAGCCAGTAAATTCGCTGAGTTTCTCTTCAATCAACCCTTAATCACTCGCCTTAAATCGCATTTCATAAGCCTTAACTCGTCTTAAAAAGCCTAAAGTTCTAAACTCTAGTTTTCTTGCACCGAGTTGAGGCAAGCTATACGGTTAGCTATCATCCCAGAGTCCAGTCCTAGTATTGGCATTCCAAGCTAGAATAAAAAGCACAGAGAGCAACAATTTATGCTGTTTACCTTTCATGCCATGTCTTAATGCAGTTTCTAGTTTTACACACAACTTTTGCAAAACGATTTCATTGTCATCAATCGGATCTTTGTTCTCAAAATATGTTGACTTCAACTGAGCAATATAACCTAGAAATACAAATTAATGACATAGATTACCATAGTATAGTACCATACTCTTTAAGTAGTGTATCAAATTGGGGAAAAAAGAACATCCTTATCGCTTATGACTACTGCTGCAAAACATCAGGTATATACATTATTACTTACTTACTTTCTATGGAATGCTAGCAATCTATTTTTAAAATTTCTAAACCTAGGCTTCAATGTACTATACATGGCAATCAATTGTACCAAACACTTTCCACTAGACAAGTGTAAGCTGTTAACAAAACAATGAATAAGCTAAGTGAATTGTGGTTGCAGGTGAATTGTGGTTGCAGCTTAATTGATTTACTACTTTACTTCCCAGGATTTCCACCTATCAGTCAACATGCACCTTTTTAGGATTTCAAGGATATTTTTCTAAAAGGAAGAACTCAATAAATTCCAAGGATCTCCCATTAAGTAATATTGTCAAAATTATCTATTTATTAACTTTTTAATTACAACCTTTTAACTAAACAAATATACAACAATTAACTTTAAGAACATGAATGTTGAAGGCATGGTTAACAGGACAGAGATCCCATGTTAAGAGTAAGACCAAATGAACAAAGACACTTAATAATCTAGTTGCTATTCCTTAAAAGACACAAACACATATTTAACAGCCCTCCCAACAATTTGCTAATAATCATTCTTTTTTCAAAATCATGCAGACCTTTATCATTTAAATAATATACCTTTAAAACAATTACAATTGATTCATTTTAAGCAGTTACATTATCCATGACAAACTGCAAAGAATCATATCCATACTTTCCTGCAACTTCCCCAATATATAGTTAATTAAATACGCCTTCACCCATTTAGTACTACTAAATTGTAAGCAAATTGTAAATTTCGACATACTAAAATGTTGTTTTCTGACCATCTGAATTCTGTCAAAACTTCCTCAAAGTCCAGGAAATGGCATTTCAGAGACTCTAAATTTAAAAATTTCCTTGGGCCCTCATTCTCAGCCCCCAAACAAAAACAGCTTCCTACAGCACTTCATGCTTCTGTAATATGTCTGTGCGTAAAATATGCGTATTTTTGTTTGTAACTAGCGTCTTCATTTTCCGGATAGCAAACACCTTTGTGGCTTTGTCGGAAATTTTTGGCCTACACCCCAACTATACATGCTAGCTACGGCCCTGGGTATGAATAGGTGGTATCCTACTACCAGAATGCATTTTTATGTAGAGGACATGGTTCATGCCAATTAGATATGCCATATGACTCAACCAAGCTAGGTAGGGATCTCGTGCACGCCAATTGAATCCTTAAAGACCAAAAAGGTTAGTGATTGACCAATTAATGCTTCATGCTAGGCTTGGGCGGTTTTGCTTGAAATCAAAACCGAAAAACCGTCTGATTCTAAACCGGAAAACCGTTTTTTTCCGTTTAATTTTTATTTCAACTGAATGAGGAAGAATTGTGGTATTTCTTTGACATAAGCAAACGAACAGTCCATGGCAAAACGCAACATTCTGCAAAGGTAACCTAAAACAACTTCAGTTTTAAAATAAAAGGGTCAAGAACGCATTTGAAAACTTATACCTCTTTAGTTCTTACCGACTTTGCGGAAAAGAAATGAATTTGTATCTAGTGTCATGTAATTGAGTTTGATTAGTGTCATGTTTTGAGAATTAAGATTGAGTTTCAGGCGATGACAGTAAACAATTACGTAATGATGGTTTTCCGGTTTTTGTAAAAGCTAAACCGAAAAAAACGGTTTGAAAATAAAACCGAAAAAACCCGAAAAACCGGTAAACCGCCCAAGCCTACTTCATGCAAAAATTTTGTTGTGGCTTGCCACAACATGTTAATTGACTGCACATATTAACATTGTTTTGGAGCTAGGACATATGATAATAGTAAGTGTATTAGAACATCCAAAGAGGGTAGGGGGGGTTAACTTCCAGTTCCAATTTTTTCCGTCGGGGAGGTATGGATGTTTTCTGGCAGGGACGTCGGAGCGAGGGTAGGGCACAGGGGGGCAATGTTGATGTAAAGGCAATCACTAATTAATATTCCGTTTCCGAAAAAATTTTCCGCAACCTTAATTCACCAAAACAAGGACAAAAAATTTTTGAAAGTTAACCTAATTTTTTACACAATATTCCAGAAAATTTCACATATATTTCAATATTACGTCCATTTCACCCGTAATTCATACTTTTTAATCGTTGTACCTCATATTTTTTTGGGTTAGAATTTTTATCTACTTAAGGGCACTTTCACCCCCCCCCCCCTTACTAAAGGGCAAGGGGGCAATGCCCCCCGCGCCCCCATTTCCGGCGTCCCTGTTTTCTGGAATAACCCAATGCATGTAATTTTTAAAGTGCGTATTTTCTCAACAATCAGTTTTACACAATCAGAAATACAGATAAGCTGGATTCTGATACCGATTATTGGTCAACCATTAAAAAAGGCATTTGCCATGTTGATGAAAGTTCTATTGCAAACAAGCATAACATGACCAGGAATGTCTCCAGTGAAGTATTTAATAATTTAATAACTTAAAATAATTGATAAAATGTAGTAGGCATAGTAGCATTGAAGTATCACAATTTTGACATTTCGTGACCTTCAGACTTCAGCAGAAAACAAATTGTACAACACGTCATTTCACACACTCTAAAATCAACCCGAATGTACGAAATTAAATACAATATATTTAAGAATTTATTCATCACAGCTACATAAAACTGAAATACAACTGAACATATATATTTATATAAACAAAAGTTAAATATTTGATATTGCACAATAGATATGAATATGATTGTCTATTACCTTTGATATCGTTGGCTAAGCGGTTAACATCTATTACATAAGGCTCCATGTTTTATCGCAAGGACATCATTACAGGATAATACGACATTTGTTTACATCCAAGAAAAAATATTTATCTTTGTAAAACCACAGGTTTAAAATTCAAAGAAATGATATGTTTGTATAAAATTCGAAATCATCGGAATCATAACAATGAAAATGATACTTAGGTTTACTTAGGGTGGAAATACTACACCATGGGATTTCATGGGATACGGTGAAATGCACCCTCTCAGAGTGACAAAACCATGCGGCAAAACTAACAAAGTTTGAGAGCCTGTTCGCAGGCTACTAACAAAGCAACGTTTTACCACAGAGAAACAGAGTAGATATATATACAGAGTTGTAACTAGTGTACCCAATTAGTGTACCCAACACGGCAACACCGCGGAAAAACGTCTGCGCATGCGTCAACCTTAGCTGTAATAGTATTGCGAACTTGATGAGAAGCTGTTCCGAACGTTTCCGAAGGCTCAAAATGGCGGTAAAAAGGAGTGACTTCATTGTGCGTCTTTACAGCCAGATTTCAAGCGCAAAAATAAACATGTCATTCTAAAAACTAGAAATAAATGCAGCCAGAAGGTTCAAGAAATTGTATTGTACAAGAACATGAACTAAAGGTGATTGTTGACAAATTTATCGTCTGAAACATTTTGTTTATCAACTAAGCAATGACAATTTCCGAATTTTCGTTTGAGATACATTTCTTTAAAAAAAACTGTGTCGCCACGACGCCAAATATAAAAAATTTGCGTGTTCACAATATGTTGAACTTTAGGATTTATTCTACAATTTGCGTGGGTTAAGAAGCTTAAAGGGGAAGTTAAGTCCGTTCTGCGCATCTGTTCTGCGCATAACAATGAGAGGACCTCTAATGTGAAAATTGCCCAAATTTCGAATGTTTCGAATTTTTCTGAACATAAACTTTATTTCATATTCATTTAGAAGCATAGCGAACCAAAATGGTGTTAGATATTCAGACAGTACATCATATTTTAAAAAATGCAGCAGTTCAAAATGTAAACAAACCGTTTGTTTACATTACGGACTTGACTTCCCCTTTAACTTTTCGAGCTAGTTTTCTTAACATTTTAGTTTGGATTTTTGTTTTGAATAATTTTGCAAAAATTTTCGAAGTCGTGTCCGTTAAAATCAACATTTTTTTACATGAATTATATTTCATTCCATACTTTAAATGCCAGGACGCTTTCAATTAATGTCTAGTCTACCCATTTGCTATATTTTCTCGTTTGTTTTACTAATTTTTGACCAATTAATAAGCTTGTTTTTGTTTTAGAAATTGATATTCAAATTCCCCGCCATATTTTCATAATTTGGTGCATGCGCAGACGTTTTTCCGCGGTGTTAGTGTACCCACTTTTTTGTGCGCGTGCTCGGCAAGTTACTAGATGCATGCATCTGATTGGATGGCGGCTCGCTTTAAAACTTGCCGAACACGCGCAGTTGATCATTTTTTGCCCGTTTCGGAACGTCGGAAGTCGTTTCGGAACGGTCGTCTTGCCCGGATGTGTCCGATCCAACTCGTCCACAATTATAAACATATCATCTATTCCCACTCCAATTATCAGAAAAGGTAAGTATTCCAACGATGCTTACAAACGGGGTCTGAGCATGCATAGATAAGCCGCATCCAGTCAAAATCTCCAATGCCACACACTGTATTCCAAGTATAGCCAATAACCCGTGCCCTATTAAATTCCGATATTTAGCCAACATGCATGAACTGACGCAAAACCTGTCATCATAGACAATCCAGAAGACATGTCTTCTGGATTGTCTATGCTGTCATCAATGTGTAAGTCAATGCTGTCAATTTTATATCGGACCGAACACGTTCCGAGATTGCATCATCAATACTCCGTTCTGCAGTGAACACCAACGAGTTGCATTCCAAACTATTAAAATTTTCCATTTTTTTCAAGATTTCCTTTTCCCAATCCAATCCCAGAATCTCCTCTTCCAACGCAACTCCTCTGAAATGATAAATCATTCTCAATGCTTGTGCTGACATAATTTCCCCATTTACTATTATTAGAAATAACCTTTCCAAAAAGTCTTTGAAATAATTCAACATTCGAGTTGGCCGAAAGCTGTTCAGCTTTGGTAGCCGGTTGGTTAAATTTGAAGTATAGTTACTGAAAATCCATAACGGCACAGAAAGACAGCCTTGCTGAAGGATCACTTTGTATGTTTGGCAGGCAAACTTCTTGATAACCTGGAATTGCCATTACTAAATTGTGCAACTTTAGAACATCCCTAAAGCACGCTTCCCTTAAAACATTTCCATCATTTTGCAGAATTTCTGTGCTGTTCTCAGTTTTCATAAAAACAACCTCAAACGCAGATACACCCAATACGGCTATCGTTATCAGCGGATGCAAGCCAACACTCCTGTCCTAGCCAGGCAACAGGTGGGAAATTTGCTGTCTCTGGTCAGTAAATTGCGGGCGCTAGCGAAAAGTTTTTTTAAATTATTAAAATGAGCAAAAGCAAGTTTTGAGCTTCTCGTTTGGGAAAGAACCGTTGGATGTGCAAGAATTTAAGTTCGTTTATTCAAAGCTATTGTCCTGTAGAAGATATTTTAAACTGAAGTCGGGCAATTATAAACTATTTATCAATTATATCCATATGAACTCAAGAGACAATACCCTTTGTTCTCTCAAAAGTTCATGTTTGAATGCACAATAATTCTGCATTTTTGCATTTCTCCGCCTCACTTTGATGCTGCGATGCAAGGCAAGCCATAATGACTTCTACAAATAAAATCGCAGGAAGCTGGATTTGAAGCTGGAAGCTGATTTGCTCTAAACGAAAATAGTGATTTTTTAATAAGTGAAATTTTAGTGAACTTCAGGCTCAGCGATAGGTGAACTGACATCTTTCACTTGAGATTAGTCAGAAAGTGTTTTTTATCATGTCATTTTTATAAATTTCCATTCTAAAAGACTGAAGGCACTTGTGAAGCATCTTCGTTCCCAGGGCTTATCGGTTGCGCTCTTTCGATAGCTTGAAGATTTTGTAAGAAGGTATGTATTACTATCGTTCGGATATGATAACAATCGAGGACCAGCTGCGCCTGAGTGCAGGCTACAGCCTCAGCGAAACAGGAAACCCATTGATTACGTATATTTGCGCGGCAAGTACTACCGTACAGCACGATTTTGACATTTCAGGGCATTTTTTAAGAAATTGCAACTACTGGGGCCAAGTCTCAATGAGGGCCTTTTCCCCGCACAGTTACCTGTGCTCAGGGGCGGAGCTAGCCCTATTTGAATGAGGGGGTGGGGGAGGGCATGTAAGTGACATTTTGTAGACTCATTTCAAAGGCTAATTAATATTTCTTTTCCCAAAATTGTTGGCGAGTGGGGCAGGGAGAGGAGGGGGTTTTCATTTCTACACCAAAAAAATTTCCGCACATTAAACTTTTCTTTTCGGTTAACATAGCATTGTTTGTTTAATTGTCCGTAATTTTTCGTACATTTCTCTAAATTTTAGCTACAATTATTAGTTTTTAATCAGTGTCACTCGAATATTTTAGTTTATTTGCTTCCTGTCCAACTGGAATTAGATCATTTGCTGGCTACCTGACGACTGGGATGTTCCAACCCCCAAACTCACATCCCCCCTTTAGCGCCGCCCCTGCCTGTTCTGACTTTTATAAGATGGAATGTCGAGAATGTGCAAGGATATGAGAAAGCAGGCAGATGCAGCTTTTCAGTCAACAAGATTGACTTTTTACTAATGATTAAAAGGGCCCAGTTCATCTGAAAATCTTGCATCACTACTGGGGTAAACAAAGGGCCTACTCGGGTAAATGCCCCAGTAGTTATATAGTTAAAAAATGCCCTGTGACATTTTCAAGTTCAGTTAACGGCCAAGGATGAACACTGAACAAAGGGCATTAGACAGATTTTAATCTGACTAATCATCCATCACGTTTAACCAGCTAGCCTCGCGTTGATTGGTTGGGCTGCATGTGGATTGAAATTTATTTAAATCCTCCTTACCATGCAACATTGACGTTCCAAAATATTTACGGTTGACTTGTTCCACGACGTTATAATACTATCATTATCAAACTATATTCCTAATAGATTATAACTGGTTTTACACGCGTAAAAACACTGAGCCCGCTGTTTAACAGGATTCAATAATGTTTTGCTACCCACGTTGTTCACACTTGTCAACAATATTGAACAACATTGTTGAGCCTGAATCGAGTGTAATGATATTGTTCAATATTGTTGACAACAGTGAACAATGTGGGCAGCAAAACATTGTTCAATCCTGTTTTCATCAACTATTGCAACGACCTGATCGTTTTTAGCCGTGTAATGGAGAAAGTTTAGATTTAGTCAATCGAAGATTCAAGACAAAATAGTTAGTTTTTACTGAATTCGCCACTATACTCGCCTCTTTGACACAATTAAATTCATGGGCGTACCGGGCGGGGGCGAGGGGGGCAGTTAGCAAACAAAGCCAGTCGGGCAATATTCGCTTCAAAGTCGGGTAATATTGGCTTATTATAAAAGTAAATGGGACAAATTCTGTCAATTTTGTGGGAAATTCTGTCAATTTTGCGGGAAATATGCTATCTAATAGGAATTTTTGGTAATCACTGCTCCCCCCCGACCACAACAATTTTGGAAAGTTTCTCCGAAAAACTCGGGCAAATTCGGGCAAATTTCTTTCCGCCCCCTAATTTTTTCCTCCCCGTACGCCCATGATTAAATTTGACAATTATACAGGGAAAATTCTTTTCACTCCGAGGTTGGTATAGCAGGGAACATGTTTATCACACAATAAAGAAAGGAAGAGATGTTTTCTTCTGAATCTTCTCATCTTCTGAAATTCGCATTTTGCTCCGCGGCGCCATCTTTCGGCAATTTTCAGTGTTTTCCTAGGACCCAGGAATCCACAATTCCTTATATTGATACATCTGACTCATCTGAATGAAGAACGACATTTTGGAATAACAAAATCCAGCACCTTTCGAGTTACCTGGTGCTAATTATCCAAGGAATGGAAAAACGTATATTTTTGTATTTAAATGTACCCTACTGTGCCTTAATTAAAAATGAATATCCCTTTGATTTTAATCATTGAATATTCCTTGGATGTTTAGCCGCTCGGTATTAGACAGATTATAATCCTTAAGTAAGCAGAGCCGCAAATCTTTTAACAGGGACAGGGGCAATTAAATACTTAATACGTAATAAATATTATATGAAATTCCTATTCATATTAATTGAGCAATGTTAATCGACATCGTTTATGACGTTTATGAACTTGGTCAAAAACGCAAGTGGGATGTGACTCGAGTTTGTTTCTGAGCTCATTTCAAGCTGAAACTAATTAAACGGAAAGATTTCTCGTGTGGATAGCAACGTGAATATTTACCACAATGGTAAGTACATAGACAGAGTATAGATATATCTAAACCAGCATAATACGTTTCCACGAGCCCGGACGATTTGACACTGAATTATCCACAGTTTCACCTGTTTAAAATTAGATTATAGGTCGACAAATCATAATGCTTTACTTACGTGAACGGGTGCTGACTATAGTGAAATCTCAAATACATTTTAAATCACGGGGTTAAATATACTATAATTGGTGTTTACAAGAGCAGCTCTCCCCCTCCATGCGAAGTAGACTGATAAAAAAAACACAACATTAATTCAAGTTGCTGCAGTGGTTGGTTGTGCCCATGAAATACCTGAGAAAAATGAAATTCGTCGTTTCGATTGCCCTTCGTCAGGAATTTATAGTTTTGCTATTCTAACCTCCTGACAAAGAGCATTCGCTTCAAAAGGTTTAATCTTTCTCATATACAACAGATACCATGCACATTCCAGACACAAACCGCGGACACTTATCGTATAATATTGGTAAGTCAACCTCTTTCCCAGGATAATCTGGGAACGAGGTTGATAATATACTCCGCACACTGGACTCACTCGTTTGAATTGGATTAGTGAGTTAGCTCTAGAACATTATTTACCGAAGATTTACTCAGAGATAGGCTAACAAATTTTGGGCTTGGTCAGTTACTCAGTTTTGGTTCGATAAAGTAGATCTTATAATTTCATACATGTCATAACACGTTCAATATTGCACTTAATTAAAGAGATAATATGTGAAGAAAGAAATGTATTTTATCAGCCTGATTTAATATATATATATCGATTTTGGCCTCCACATTTACAGGCCCCTCCGTAGATCTTAATGAATTCGCTAATTTCGTGAGGAGGCAGGGTATGCCCAAAATACGGTACAATAGAAACTCCGAGGAAATTGAACATTGAAAATTGGAAATTGAAATTTGAGACTTCGAAGGATTATGATGTAGGAGTGAAATGCGAACAACACGGAACGCGTGTGGTTTATAGATAGCTTTTTTAGTAATTTTTACTTTGAGTTTTTGGCTTACACTTATCACACAGATATTTTTTACTAGTTTGAGATGAAAATAAAAGATATGTGTTCAAAATACGAAAAATTGAGAACACAATCCCTCAATACCTCAGTGTCCAAACAAAACAAAACCTCGGTTTGCTGACGACACAAATCTGACAGCTTGTATAACTGGCCTTAAGACTGTAGTAAATTTTGATTTCGAAAACCTCAGAAAATGATTAATTGCCAATAAACTTAGCCTAAATGTAGCTAAGACAGAATTTATGTTAATTGGTTCAAAGGCAATGATTCAGGCTTGAATGTTTTCATTGAAAATAATCAAATTAAAGAAGTTAACGAATGCAAAACTCTTGGAAAAGTAATTCTGAAAATATTTGCCAAAAAATAACTGCAGGAATCAGTGGCGTAACGGGAGGGTGTCAGGGTGTCCAGAGACGGGGGGCCCCCGAACTTTAGGGGCCCCCAACAAAAATGACCTTAAAAAATTTGATAGCACATTTCTGGGGAATTGAATTAATTGAATTGAATAAAAAAAAACCATTCTCTGGAAAAGGCAAAATCCGTCGAGAAATTTCCCGAAGCTGCGACGGATTAAGTACGTCGCGGCTGAGGTAAAGGCCGAGATACTAGAATGAATTAATTGCAATTTCATTGGGTATGTCCGGAAAAAAATTGGACCCCTAAAATGGTACAATGTCCGAAAATTTTTTGGCGACGGGGGGTGGGGGGGAGGTCGCCAAAAAAAAATTGTTCCGAGAAAAATTTTTTGAGGCTATTTTTAGTGTAGCAAAGGGCCCCAAAGTGGCCGATTGACGGAGGGCCCCCAGCGGTTGCGTTACGCCACTGGCAGGAATCTCTGCAATTCGTCGAGTCAAACCTTTCGTTGACAAAGATACACTCATTTCGATATATAATGCTATTGTTCGCCCATACTTTGATTACTGTTGTGAAGTATGGGATGTGCTTGGTGAATCATGATCGAAACGACTCCAAAAACTTCAAAATAGAGCGGTTAGAATTATCTTGAACATGGGCAATGACGTAGCTGAATCATTCCATTGCATTGCTCTACGTGCATTGGGCTGGGAACCACTCAAAACAGAAAGGAAGAATGATGTACAAAGTATTAAATAGAATGGGTCCTAAATCACTCACTAATCTTTTTTCATACAAATGTGAGAAAACAAACTACAACCTTTGGGACATTTCAAGTGGTCTTAGTTCACCAAAACCGCGTACTAACAATATGAAAAATAATGATATTTGTGGTGTTACTCTGAGTGTATATCCACACCGGGCGAGCTTGAAAAATATGCCCGGCCACGGTGGGATTAGAACCTACGACCTTTGGAATACTAGCCCAATGCTCTTCCAACTGAGCTACGCGGTCAGGACGGTTCGAGTAAGTGATATTTCGGAACAGAATCTAATTCCTTCGATACCAATGTATTCTAGTAATATGATTTTTTTTTCTGTGTTGGTGTAGTGTACTCAGGTGAATATGATATTTGACATATTTGTGGTGTAACATCAAATCCGAAATATCACTTACTCGAACCGTCCTGACCGCGTAGCTCAGTTGGAAGAGCATTGGGCTAGTATTCCAATTAAAGGTCGTAGGTTCGAATCCCACCGTGGCCGGGCATATTTTTCAAGCTCGCCCGGTGTGAATATACACTCAGAGTAACACCACAAATATCATATTCACCTGAGTACACTACACCAACACAGAAAAAAAAATCATATTACTAGAATACATTGGTATCGAAGGAACTAGATTCTGTTCCGAAATATCACTTACTCGAACCGTCCTGACCGCGTAGCTCAGTTGGAAGAACATTGGGCTAGTATTCCAAAGGTCGTAGGTTCGAATCCCACCGTGGCCGGGCATATTTTTCAAGCTCGCCCGGTGTGGATATACACTCAGAGTAACACCACAAATATCATATTCACCTGAGTACACTACACCAACACAGAAAAAAAAAACTGATATGAAAAATAGTTTCATGTATGACGGAGCACACCTTTGGCTTTGGAATTCTATTTCTTCCTTTCGAAATAAAATCGCTGCTCACAAAATTGTCATAGAGTAATAAGTAAATTGATGTAACTGTAAATATTCTAATAACCTTCTTATACGGTAAATAATTTAATATTCTATCTTTTTAAACTTAACTCTTTTAATATCTCCATGTAACATTTTTCTATTTTTGCACACGCCTCCGTGGAAATCAGCTGCGGTTGACGGGATCATGCAGCGTGTATAAATAAAGTTTCTATCTATATCTATCTAGATAAAACCCTCAAACTCGCTCTTTAGCATTTTAATTTTGCCCGCTAGCCGCGCGTTCCCTTTCTTTGACCCTGCTTTGACTGAAGATTACGATGCTCCCTCTAGTGTTATTTATAATCTCCATGGAAGAGTGGGCAAATATAATAACATTTCTGGCAATTTCGCTGAATTTTCACCGAATTGTACTGTGTTTTCCATGTTGTGTTGTACTCTGGACTTCCTCTTTATGAATTAACGTATTTTTGCTGGTGCAACGAAAACGAAAGAACGAATCACGTTGAATTAGGTCACCAAGACAGTTTGAAAGCTTTAAATTGGTAAGATTTTAACGTATCTACCTAGACTGCGAGCGGTCCCTGACTGCTCGCGGTGTACGTTCTACCAACAAGAATATGACAAATATTATGGACATTAAAATTTTGAGAACGGCCATATCTTGGTTGTATTGTTTATTGCCAAAAGCGAAAACCAAATCACAGCCAATTAAAATACATCTAGTATCCATTATTTATATTGTGCTGTTGATGACTCGGTAATGTTGGACCTGCACAACATATTCTCTACGTCATCCGTGAAGTTTTGCTCATTACTTTGGTTATCGGGACTGGTTTACAATGGCTATGCTCTTCATTAATTATAATGATTAATGTCTAATTGTTGATGGTTATTGATTATGTCCCTGAAGAATATTGGAAACTGTTACTAGTACTCTTGAAATATTCTCTATCCTTAATGATAAAAATTTTTCAACCCAGAATACAATACTGACATGAAACACAGTGGAAATTTGATGGAACACCTATATACTGTATATCACCCTATTATTTCACAATGATACTTACCGTATTTACTCGTTTGAGCCCCCCTCCCCCCCCCCGATTGAGCGCCGCCCCCGAATGAGCGCCGCATTTGAGATCAATTTTTTTTAAAGAGCGCTGCCCCCGAATGAGCGCCGCACTAAACAGTGTAATAATTTTCCACCGTCAAAATGGGGACATTTAGTGACAAAGACATTCAAAACATGTTTATTTTATTGTTAAAAGTTCTTGATATAGGCTAATTCACAAATAAAAGATATTTTTAAAGAGCGCCGCCCCCGATTGAGCGCCGCCCTCGAATGAGCGCCGCATCTAAAGCTCTGAAAATTTAAAGAGCGCCGCGGCGCTAAAACGAGTAAATACGGTATCCCAAGCCTCATGGGAACCAGATGTGCAATTGCATACTATTTATACATAAAACTGTATACAATCTATAATTATTATAATAATATATGCTGTAGATTAAACCAAGTATATATAATTAAACATCTCATTAACAATTCACGAGGAAAATACAAAAGAAATGAATGTTTAATCAATGTTTGTAAATCGGAAAAGATTTGTCCTGATTTACATAAATTTTAGCTTTGATTTTCTCGGCTTAGACAATGTTTATTTTTAAAATTACTTCGCCAATAAACTCATAAGATGGGTCGTTTTTTAAGCATGTTAAAACATTCGCATCCGATCTTATATATATATATATATATATATATATATATATATATATATATATATATATATATATATATATATATATATATATATATATATATATATATATATATATATATATATATATAGTAGGTTTATGTATACGAAACGCAAAGAGTGCTCAATACCATAAAGATAGAGCAAATATAGAATTTCGTTTACCTCAAAATTCCGCAACAGTCTGTTTCATCAGTAAAGAATCATCAGGCGGTATGATGATTCTTTACTGATGAAACGGACTGTTGCGGAATCTTGAGGTAAACGAACTTATATATATATATATATATATATATATATATATATATATATATATATATATATATATATATATATATATATATATATATATATATATATATATTTATTAACTTCAGCCGTCAACCGAAATATACATATACAAACAGGAAGACGGTTCAGGAACACTAACACAGCGTGAGCCAATTACGTTAGTGACCTGTTACAAAACATCATTATACAAAACTTCACAACTTATAATTTAAATATCAAACAAGAATATAGTATAATCCTTTTTATCCGAAGTAGAGAGGGAGCGTAAAAATTTCGAAATTTGGGAAAGCAAAATGACAAAATTGTCAAACAGAATAAATGCGAGAATATATATAGGTTCTGTATCCGTCGATAAAATAAAACGAAAATGGCGAAAAACCCAACTCTACATCGGATAAAATGAAGTATACTACATTGAATAATATTAATTGCCAAAATAACTAGTTCAATTAAGAACAACATTTCATTGTTGCAGTAAGCTGCCTGGCTTTATGGCATTTCAGACAAACTGATTTCCACGTCTGCGGATTTTCCTGGTCAAACACGGTTAATGTTGCGGAGTGGTAATAGTTTATAACACGTGATTTAAAGCTCTGCAATGATAGTTCTGGTTTCCGTAGCTCATCTGGTAGGCAGTTCCACACACGCGATACTCGTACAAGGTAACTGTTCTGGTGACATAGCGTTCTTACTTTAGGAATGTTATATTTTACAAGAGAGTTATTAGAAGAGCGTATAGATTTATGGTTGAAGTCAGAGTGTCAACTTCTTCGGGTAGGATATCAGTTTTAACCAAGCCATATTTGCATTTGAAGAGGAACAGGATATCAAGATATTCGTGCCAGTAACAGAGAGGTAGCATATTCAACGCAGCGAGTCTCGTTTTATATGGCATGTCCGTTTGGAATGGTAAAGACAGTACGAATTTGGTCGCTCTACGTTGTATGCGTTCGAGCTCCATACACATGGTGATAGTCTGTGGACACCACACTTGTGAGGCATAAGCAAGATGGGATCTCACAAGTGTAAGGTAAAGACAGCGTCGGGTATTTACGTTTTTAACTTTGATAGTCGAACGTTTGAGCATACCAAGTAGGCGGTTGGCTTTCGCAACTTGCTCGTAAATATGAGTGTTCCATCTGAGATCTGAACAAACCGTCACTCCGAGGTCTTTCTGGGAGGAAACATGCTGCAAAGTTTTACCGTTGACAATGTATTCAGCAACAAGAGGATGACGTTTTCTCGTAACGCTCAGAACTTTGCATTTTTCGGCGTTGAATTTGAGCCTCCAAAACTCAGCCCATTTCTCCACGTTTCTCGCTTCAGCTTGAAGGACACAGGCGTCAACCGGTGATTCAATAACTGAGATGCATTTTGTGTCGTCGGCAAACAAGGAAACGTCAACAGCGGATGAGGGTATTGATTCGGGAAGGTCGTTTATGTAGATGAGAAACAGGAGTGGTCCGAGTATTGATCCTTGCGGAACGCCGGAGGAAACTGGACGTGTCTCTGAAATCTCACCATTGACTAGTACACGCTGTTGTCGTCCGGATAAATAACTTTTAAACCACGTTAAAATATTGTCCCTAAGTCCAAATCGTTGGAGTTTCTTTAAAAGAAGGCTATGATTCACCGTATCAAACGCTTTAGCAACATCGAAATACAAGATATCTGTTTGTTTCCCTGAATCCAGGTTTTGACTGATGCGGTGAAGAACGGAAATGAGCTGACCTGTGCAAGACTTGCCTCTCAGAAAACCATGCTGTGCGACGGATATCATGTTCTCTATATGACCAATC